AATTCATCCGCTTTAGAGGACACATGACTGTTTCACGGAGAACTTCTTCAGAAGAGAGGTGGAAAAGTGTTCACTCCCTTGAAAAGATGTTTCTCTGCGCATTTCGCAGTGTGAAGAGTGACTTGATAGAAAGCTCCCGTGTGCGTGCCCCCACAACCCGCTCAACGCACCTCCCGTTCATGAACACGAGCACTGTCGGGTAAGTCAGCACACCGTACTCCTCGACCATCTTTGGGGCTTGTGGCCCAGGCACGAGCGCCAGTTTCGTTTCATTGGGGTTCCCCATGTTCATTGCGTTAATGGAGGAGATGAAGCTGCGTGTGAGCGGATCCTCAACGATCTTCGTGCCGGCTCCTCCTTCGCCCGCCGTGCTGCGAAGCGAGCCAGAGTGAAGCACGGCCAGCACACACTGCGTGCCGTAATACTTGAGAAAATCCATGAAAACCTTTTCATTTGGTAGCTCGGCAATCTCGTAGCCGCTGGCGGGGGGGCGTGAAATTTTGCTGATCTTCGTGATGAAGTGGCAGTGCCGCGTGAGACGCATCATCCTCCCCGCGAAGGCAGCGTCGCACTTCGGGCGCGGCAACTACGCAACCCCCCCCCCCAAAAAAAAAAAACAACAACAACGTTAAATGGAGAGAAAAGGCGGCAAGGAAAGAAAAAAGGCAAAGGATGGCACATCATGGAATGCAGTCCAGTCGCAGCCTCCTCATTGGAGGTCAAAAAAAAAAAGTGCAGGCAGTAGCCACAAAACGGCTACACAGCCGTAACCAAAAATAGCCACACAAAGAAGAAGACCACACATGCATATGCATATATATATATGGATGTATATGTTGTGTTCCACCTCGTTACGTTGCGCACGCAGACACAGACACAACCGAATGTAAAATCGCCTGTTCCTTTTTACGTCTTCCAGCCAGCGTTCTTCTCGTACTCTGCTCGTAGGCGCTTCTCCTCCTCCACGGACGGAGGCGGAAAGGCAAACATGACCCCCACCACAACAATAGGAATCAAAACAAGCTGAATCTTAAGCAACTTCTTAAACTCCGACGTCGCTTTTGCCTTGAAACTTTTGTCCTCCACCGAAGTCGTGTGACTCTCGAAGGCCTGTTGCAGCGCGCGGCGGGAGTAGCGGAACATTAGGCACCTCAGCGAGCAAAGACGGATGCCGATGGACAGCTAAAATGCAAGCATAAAAAAGAAAGTAAGGAAAATACAGAAAAAAAAGTGGAAAGAGAGCAATTTAAATAAACAAATAAGAAGAGGCAAAACAAACACAAAACAAAAAAAAATTAGTCCTTCTTTGCGCCCAATTCCACTGAATTTCTTCACACATGCAAAATCCTCACGCGCAAATCACTACCAAACGAAAAGAAAAAGGTATAGGTGTGCCCTAAACTGAAGCAAGTCAGAGATTTACAAAAAAACAGGTGAAAGGGAAAGTTTTTTTTTTCAGTTGAGTCTAACTATTCCGCGATGTCGGCTTAGTAGCGGAATGCGCCCTCCTTCGTGTTTTGGGCGATAGCGAAGGACTGCTGCCATTAGGAACTCCTGCAGGACTCATGACAGCTCTCTCCGTGTTTTTTTTCCTCCCAATACAATTGGATTAAACAGACGGTAAACCCGAGAACTTTTCTCCAGTCGCTCACCATTGTGCGGCACTTTCTCGCCAAAGACAAGTCTGCCCAAAGTACGGAGCGAGAGCATGTTTCTCACGTTATCATACATTCTGGCAAGGGGTCTGTTGTCCCAGAAAAATAGCCCCCTCAAGAAGTAAACACAGCTCATGAATGCAAGCTCCGCGTAAATGCAACAAACCACAACAGGACGAACAAACATAAAAACCAATAAGTCGAGCAGATGCAAAGCGCAAGAGACAACCACGCCCCCCTCAATTAAAAACTTTACTTCAGGTTTCAGCAGTGGCTCAGCCTCTTCGGGTGAAAGGTAGGCGTTCGCTACCAGGCCTTCTATCATGTCGTTGTAGCCCAGGGCAAAGAGGTTCCGGAGGGCAACTTTCCCAGGTGGACGCAGTCCCCACCACAAAGGCACAAAAATGGTGGGATGCACCGTTGCCGTGCCACAATAGAACGCGCTCACCGTGATCGTTTTGGCGTCACCCTTGTGGGGTGTTACGGTCGCCAATCCACCATCACACACCCACTCACCGGTTCCTCGCAGACGAAACGGCGCCCCCACCAACGGCGACATGCAGCAGGAGGCCTTCAAAGCTTCCAGAATATCCTCGTGTGAATGGAACTCCGTCATCACTTTTTGCTTCATATATGGAAGTGTCGTAACAAATATCTCTAGCGATCCATCATTAAGCACTTCGTACAGCTGTGGCTTCATCTCCAAGTCTTTCAAGTGGGCACCAAAGGCCTCCAATGATTCGGCAAGGTATTTCTTCATACAAAACAAGTTCAGCCATGAGGAACGATAATGTTCCGCACACATCATTACAAACTCACGAATTTCCTTGAAGCGATAACTCTTCGAGGCGAGGCAGACAGCAGCAAGTGAGCCGGCGCTAGCACCAGCAAAGCGAATACGTTTACCTTCCGATGTCAATTTCTCAATGATTCCACAGTCAACAATTGCTTGACAGGCACCAAAGTGATACATTTGAAACCACCCCCCCGCGGCAAACCCAAACGTCAAGTCAAACACATCCGATTTATCATTCGCTGCAGACCGAGACATATTTCGCCCAGCTTGCGACAAAAGTAATATGAAAACACTATCTAGACAAAGCAATGCAAAAAAAAAAGCATCGCAGCCTTATCAAAAAGAAAAAAAACAAATCCACACTGCACAAGATAAGAACTCCAAGATACACCCTGGTCCCGTGCCTGTTACCTCTACAAAAAAAGGGTGAGCACAAGGCAAACAACAATGGAAAGCTTGCACCACCACATAAAAAAAATCATTACAAGTAACCGCAGATTCAGTAAGGTCGATAACAACGATCCAGCAATTAATTATTAAAACAACAAATCAACAACCACAGCAACCCTCAACACAAAACACAATACCCAAGCCCACAAGCCGTTGTCGCATCCACCTACGCACAAAAATACTAATGAATACGAGACAAGAAAAAACAAAGAGATGAACAACAAGCATCGGCTAGCAACAAAAAAATCGCAGCAAACTACATAAAATTAAATATGCTATAAGAACAACCAACAACCTGAAAAACAACAACGTAGATGGTATTTCCCGACACACAGGTTGGCTTCGCGAGGATTGGTTACACAGGGGCCGCTGTGCCTACTTCTTGGCCTTCTTTGGGGCGGCGGCGGCGGTGGTAGCACCGCCCTTCGCCTTGCGCTCCGCAGCGCGGGCCGCACGCTCCTTGCGAACGCGCTCCTCACGACGGATGCGGTCCTTCTTGCACGGGCCGTACCACTGGCTCTTCTCCTTCTTCGTCTGGAAGCGGCCGTGGCCAATCTTGGAGCTTGTGTCAATGAACTTCAGCGTAATCTGCTCCGTAAGCTTGCGCGACGTCTGCGGGGCCATTGGGCGGCGCAGCGTGATGACGCGGCGGCGAGGGCCCGCGACGGAACCCTTCAGCATCACGTAGTCGTTGCGCACCGTACCGTAACCCACGAAGCCACCCATCGGGGTGATGGTCTTGGCTGTGAGGTCGTACGTGGTCGTGGCCTGCTTCGGCTCCATCGACACCGCGCG